GTGAATGCAACTTAAGCTTTGTTAATCTTTCTTCATATGAAAGATTTCTAATTTGGGGAATTAACTTAGTCATCCTACGCTGGACACGTTCAAGTGAATTTATATCCATTCTATAATATGGCGACCAAAACTGAACTGCATAATCTAAATGGGGCCTAACTAGAGCAAGATATAGCTTGAGAACCACACCAGGTGTCTTGTTACTAACGCTGCGATTAATAAATTCAAGTGTCCGATTTGCCTTATTACGAACATTTATGCATTGATCCTTTGTTTTAAGTTCTTAATAATCATAACTCCCAGATCCCTTTCGCAATCCGACTTCGCAATCTCAACACCATCTAGCTCGTATCTTGTAACTCTCATCATTACCTAGCCTCAGAACTTTGCATTTATCAGCATTAAACTGCATCTGCCAATCCTTTGACCATTTCAAAACCCTATCTAGATCAACTTGAAGTGATAGTGAGTCCTCCTCCGAATTAATTTCCCTACCGATTTTCGTATCATCGGCAAATTTCCAAATGTTGCTACTCAAACCTGAATCTAAATCATTTATATATATTATAAACAACAGAGGTCCCAGGACAGAGCCTTGAGGCACTCCACTTACAACATTTTCCCACTCTGACTTGATTCCATTTATACTAACTCTCTGTTTCCTTTGGTATAGCCATGCCCTAATCCAGCTTAATACAGCACCCCCAATACCATGAGACTCCATCTTTTTAATCAGTCTTTCATGTGGCACTGTATCAAAAGCTTTGCTAAAGTCAAGGTACACAACATCGCAATCCTTACCACTATCAACTGCCTCAACAATGCTAGAATAAAAAGATAACAAATTTGTCAAACATGAACGGCCATTTATAAAACCATGTTGCGACTCAATTATTAATTTATGTTTTTCAAGATGAAGACGAATTTTATTTGCTATTATGGATTCGAGTAACTTTCCCACAATAGACGTTAGGCTAATTGGTCGATAGTTAGACGCAAGTGATCTATCTCCTTTCTTAAAAACTGGTATCACATTAGCAACTTTCCAAAACTCTGGCACTCTGCCTGACTCTATTGATTTATTAAATATGGTTGACAGTGGCTCGGAAAGCTCCTCTTTGCATTCTTTAAGCACCCTGGCAAACACTTCATCCGGCCCTGGGGATTTGTTTGGTTTGAGTTTTACTATTTGTTTAATTACATCCTCCCTGGTAACTGTTAAACTAGTCAACCTGTCCTCGTCCCCACCCACATAGACTTGTTCGGCTGAAGGCATATTGTTAAGTTCCTCTTTAGTAAATACAGATACAAAATATTTATTAAAAATACTACTCATCTCTTCATCACTATCTGTTATTTGACCTGTCTCAGTTTTTAATGGACCTATCCTTTCCCTAGTCTTAGTACGATATAACTGAAAAAAACCTTTAGGATTTGTCTTTGCTTGCCCTGCTATGCGAACTTCATAGTTTCTTTTTGCTTTCCTTATCTCTTTTTAACATTTCTAACCAGTTGTACGAATTCCTGTTCTAAAGTGACCTCCCCATTTTTAATCCTTTTGTACCAAGCTCTCTTTTTACCTATAAGGTTCTTCAAATTCTTTGTTATCCACTTTGGGTCATTAGTATTCGATCTATTCAATTTGTATGGTATACTACGTTCCTGTGCTTTGTTTAGAATATTCTTAAATAAGTTATATATTGAATCCACATCGAAATCCCCATTTAAGTCACCTATCGCTGGGTTCATGTCTCGCTCCAAGACCGGCCCCCACCCCATACCCAAGACTTTCCAATCAATTTGACCCAAAAAATTTCTTAGGCTATTAAAATCAGCTTTTCGAAAATCTGGCACTTTAACATAATTTTCTCCTACTGGTCTATTCCATTCTATGCTAAATCTGATTTCTTTGTGATCACTGCTCCCTAGCTCACTCCCTATTTCGATGTCATTAATTTGCATTTCCCTGTTAGTTAACACTAAATCTAAAATATTATTTTCCCGTGTTGGTTCCTTAATGTGTTGCGTATATATATATATATATATATATATATATATATATATATATATATATATATATATATATATATATCGTGTAGTGTATTCTATATATCAAAATATATTACTTTGAAACCCCTATCAGTCACTAAATAAAAAATTGGGCTACTTTTATTACAAATCCGCTACTTTTAGAGCGTCAGCTCGCTACTTTCCGCAATTTGGAGCTGACAACCCTGTCCTGCCCTCGCCGCCTCTACCACCCGGCTGCTGTAGTTATCTCACTTGCCTCTATAGTGGTCTGCCGCACGCTACAAACCCTTCATCAAGAGCACTGACTAGTCTAGAGTACTGTATCTTCTAACGAAATGTCACTTTTCGCCGGGAGAGCAGCTTTGGTGACAGGTTTTTATCAGGTTTTTAAGTTTGTTATTAATGTTTTTTCCTGCCCGAAACGCTTTGCGTAATAGTGGCTTTAGGCGGTCCGTCTAATTACCACAAGCTACACAAGCTTCACAAAGCTTCAGAAAGCTTATGTTAGTAATGAATAAATATGATATATTTACTCATTATAATGTTGGTGCTGAATGTACAACACGAGAAAACATAATTTAACCTGAAAAAGTATATTTTTATTAAGAAATTGGACGAAAATAAAGAGCTGGTGACGCCAAATAAAGTCGACGAAACAAGCGTCAGGTTAGGTTAGGTTAGGTTAGGTTAGTTTAGGTTAGGTCAGGTCAGGTTAGGTCAGCCTAACCTAACATATCATATTTATTCATTACTAACGTATTGCCAGGAAGCTTTCTGAAGCTTTCTGAAGCTTGTGTAGCTTGTGGTAATTAGACGGACCCAGCTTTAGGCTTTGTATGTACTAGCTCTTATCTATAAATCTATCAATTTTTGTAAAATCTCTTGTATGTATGTACCTTACCTGAATAAACATTTATTTATTATATTTATTTGGTAGTCCTATTGGCACTCAGTTGAATGATCAGTATAGAGGTATCCAAAACGACCCCCCCCCAAAAGGCAATCAGGATATGTTGGTAATGCCATGCATGCCTGCACAACATGCATAAAAACACATCTGTTATTTACATATCACATATATCATTTATTTAAGAACATAAGAACAAAGGCAACTGCAGAAGGCCTATTGGTCCATACGAGGCAGCTCCTATTTATAACCACCCAATCCCACTCATATACTTGTCCAACCCGCGCTTGAAACAATCGAGGGACCCCACCTCCAGCACGTTACGCGGTAATTGGTTCCACAAATCAACAACCCTGTTACTGAACCAGTATTTACCCAAGTCTTTCCTAAATCTAAACTTATCCAATTTATACCCATTGTCTCGTGTTCTGTCTTGTGTTGATACTTTTAATACCCTATTAATATCCCCTTTGTTATGTCCATTCACCCACTTGTAAAGCTCTATCATGTCACCCCTAACTCTTCGCCTTTCCAGTGAATGCAACTTAAGCTTTGTTAATCTTTCTTCATATGAAAGATTTCTAATTTGGGGAATTAACTTAGTCATCCTACGCTGGACACGTTCAAGTGAATTTATATCCATTCTATAATATGGCGACCAAAACTGAACTGCATAATCTAAATGGGGCCTAACTAGAGCAAGATATAACTTGAGAACCACACCAGGTGTCTTGTTACTAACGCTGCGATTAATAAATCCAAGTGTCCGATTTGCCTTATTACGAACATTTATGCATTGATCCTTTTGTTTTAAATTCTTACTAATCATAACTCCCAGATCCCTTTCGCAATCCGACTTCGCAATCTCAACACCATCTAGCTCGTATCTTGTAACTCTATCATCATTACCTAACCTCAGAACTTTACGTTTATCAGCATTAAACTGCATCTGCCAATCCTTTGACCATTTCAAAACCCTATCTAGATCAACTTGAAGTGATAGTGAGTCCTCCTCCGAATTAATTTCCCTACCGATTTTCGTATCATCGGCAAATTTCCAAATGTTGCTACTCAAACCTGAATCTAAATCATTTATATATATTATAAACAACAGAGGTCCCAGGACAGAGCCTTGAGGCACTCCACTTACAACATTTTCCCACTCTGACTTGATTCCATTTATACTAACTCTGTTTCCTTTGGTATAGCCATGCCCTAATCCAGCTTAATATAGCACCCCCAATACCATGAGACTATCTTTTTAATCAGTCTTTCATGTGGCACTGTATCAAAAGCTTTGCTAAAGTCAAGGTACACAACATCACAATCCTTACCACTATCAACTGCCTCAACTATGCTAGAATAAAAAGATAACAAATTTGTTAAACATGAACGGCCATTTATAAAACCATGTTGCGACTCAATTATTAACTTATGTTTTTCAAGATGAAGACGAATTTTATTTGCTATTATAGATTCGAGTAACTTTCCCACAATAGACGTTAGGCTAATTGGTCGATAGTTAGACGCAAGTGATCTATCTCCTTTCTTAAAAACTGGTATCACATTAGCAACTTTCCAAAACTCTGGCACTCTGCCCGACTCTATTGATTTATTAAATATGGTTGACAGTGGGTCACAAAGCTCCTCTTTGCATTCTTAAGCACCCTGGCAAACACTTCATCCGGCCCTGGGAATTTGTTTGGTTTGAGTTTTACTATTTGTTTAAGAACATCCTCCCTGGTAACTGCTAAACTCGTCAACCTGTCTTCGTCCTACAGTGGCACCTCGATTACCTTGAGTTTACGAGCGGCTCTATCTACGAGCATTTCCCGTAACGAGCAAGCCACTTGCAGCAAATTTGTCTCTATTGACGAGCTTCACCTCTATTAACGAGCAAAACCACATGGTGCTTCCTAGCGTCTCGCAGGTTCTCGCAAATTCTCGGACGCTTCCGATGCTAGTGTTGTTGTTTTATTGCACACGACAAGCATCCATCTGGATTTATTTGCGCTTTTCTTTTGTTTTTTTGTGGTTTTGTGACTGCAATTTGTAACGCATGATGTCACGAAAGAAGCTGCTTGCTAAAGACAGTGTTGGGAAGGGGAAGAAAGCGACAATTACCGTGGAAGTGAAGAAGGAAATCATAGCAAAGCACGAGTGTGGTGTGCGTGTGACTGATCTCGCCAGGGAGTATGGCAGGTCCTCATCAACGATTTGTACCATTCTGAAGAGGAAAGAACAATTTAAGATGCTTGAGGTGGCTAAAGGAGTTACCAAGGTTAACAAGAAACGTCCAAAAATCCTAGAAGAGGTTGAAAAGCTACTGCTAGTTTGGATGAATGAAAGGCAATTACATGGCGATAGTGTATCTGTAGCTGTTGTTTGTGCAAAGGCCAAGAAGTTATATGTGGACCTTGTCAGGAAGACACCAGGTGCGTCGTCTGAAGAGGAGGAGATATTTAAGGCAAGCCGTGGATGGGTGGAGAAATTTAGGAAGAGAATCGGTATCCACAGTGTTGTGCGACATGGGGAGGCTGCCAGCTCTGATAAAGCTGCTGCCAAGAAATTTGTACCAGAGTTCCAGGAATTTGTTGCTAGAGAGGAGTTCTTGCCCCAACAAGTTTTTAATTGTGACGAGACTGGCCTGTTTTGGAAGAAAATGACGAAGAGGACCTACATCACACAGGAGGAACAATCTTTGCTTGGCCACAAACCGATGAAGGATCAGCTTACTCTCGTGCTCTGCGCCAATGCAAGTGGCGATTGCAAGGTCAAGCTGCTGCTAGTCTACCACTCAGAAAATCCACGCGTGTTCAAGGCATGCAAAGTGTACAAGACGCGACTGAATGTGATGTGGAGGTCCAATAAGAAATCCTGGGTCACGCGGATATTCTTCACTGAATGGGTCAATGATGTTTTTGGCCCATCAGTGAGGAAATATCTTGACGAGAAGTAGTTGCCACTCAAGGCCTTGCTTGTGCTCGATAATGCTCATGCACATCCTCCACAGATGCAAGAAGAATTGTTTCCCGAAAATCAGTTCATCACCATCAAGTTTCTTCCTCCCAATACCACTCCACTCCTCCAACCTATGGACCAGAAAGTCATTGCAGACTTTAAGAAGCTCTACATGAAGGCCTTGTTGGAGAGGTGTGTTGATGTGATAGACAATACAGAGCTGACCCTCAAAGAATTCTGGAAGAACCACTTCAATATCCTGGGTGCCTTACATTTGATCGATAAGGCCTGGGAAGGAGTAACACGGAGGACCCTAAACTCTGCATGGCGTAACCTGTGGCCTGAGGGTGTCCCTGAGCGAGACTTCGAAGGTTTTGGTCCTGCACTTGCATCTGCATCTGCACCTGTGGAAGACCCCGGAAGTGCATCTAGTGGATGATATTGTTGCTCTGGGGCAAACTTTGGGTCTGGAGTTGGATGCTGCTGATGTGCAGGAGTTAGTGGAGGAGCACAGTGAGGAACTGACCACTGAGGAACTCCTGGAACTTCAGAAGGAGCTTAATCAAGAGGAAGCACAAGAGCTCTCATCAGGGGAGGAGGAGGTAGGGGGAGGATGCTGCTGCCTCTTCAAGTGAGATCAGGGAAGTGTTGGGAATGTTTGAAAAGGTGACCGCAGTCTTGGAAAAACATCACCCTGATAAATCAGTGACAACCCGATGTTTGAATATGTTTAATGACAATTTGCTGTCTCGTTTTAGGAACATCCTAAAACAAAGACAAAAGCAATTGTCAATAGACTTGTTCTTTGCAAAAGTAGAGAAAAAAAGAGCCAGTGATAGTGAACCACAACCCGGTCCCAGTGGGTTGAAATTCCCAAGAAGAGACAGGCCGCCTGACTCAGAGGTGGATTCTCCTTCCACACCATAACCCCTCTCCTCCTTCCCACCTCCCCGTCGTCTCCCTCAAGCCAGCAACGACTCATCATAAGGTAAAGTAAACATGAAAACTGTACAACAAAACATTTATAATTACATGTGCAGTATTATATTTACATTAAAAAATGTCATACAAGTATGGATGTTTTTGGGAGTGGAACGGACTAAATTTTTTTCCTTTATTTTAAATGGGGAAATTTGTTTCTTAAGACGAGTTTTCCACATAACGAGCTCGGTGCCAGAACGGATTAAACTCGTTAATCGAGGTGCCACTGTATTCTTGTTTACTGTTCTAATTACAGTATAGAATGGTTAAGAAATTTTTTGATTGTGTTCATTCTTGATACAGTAACAGTATTAGCGAGCTACCTGTCTCTCATCATAAAGAACAGTACAGTAACACATTTTGTGAAATTTTGTTCTGGTCTTTCAAAAACCTTCAAAGTATTTGTAAATTAAAAGTAACAAAAAATCTATAGTTCCTAACTATGCTCAACAGTACATAAATAGCTTAATTGTTTCTGTGCTGTTTTATGTGATTTACTCGCTTGCCAGAGATTTTTATGGCTCGGTTGTGCATATTTATACCTTTCAGGCCAGGAGGTACATAGGATTAATTCAGGACTAAACAAGACACAACAAATATTTTTGCTCACAGTGAGCCCTAATGGGTATAGCAATTATGCCAACATTTTATGCCCAGGAGCTGCTTTTAACTGCTTATAACTTCATACAATTTATTTTAATTAACTCAAGAAGTATCAAAATTAAATACTGTATTGTTATTTCATTTGATCTTGTTCACTTACAAGCAATATTAGCTATACAAATAATCCAAAATACTGTTGTATTAACCATCACAACAGTAACTCAATTAATCTGCTGCCTCCTAACTCTAGCACAACCCTTGTCTCATGAGTCTAAACCTGCACCTTTGGATTCTGTTAATACAACACTTGCAAACAGTTTGCTCCAGTGCCTGTAAAGGATAGAATCTTGATTTTTTTATGTGAATGTTTACTGTATTTTTTTAGAATCTTGGTTCTTAAATAGTATCTTGTGATTATATTTAGCACCTTTAGTATGTTTTGCATTTACAGAAAACAAAACTATACTGTAAATACTGTACTGCACATAATTTTCTTCATCTTGACAAATATTGATATGAATCATTGAATATTGATATTGAATCAATATTCAAATATTGATTCAGTATGACAAATATTGATATGAATCAAATATTGATATCAGTACAATATTGTAAAGCATCATTAAATATTTTTGGCCATGCTATAAACCTATCTTAATTTGGTATAAATGTTCTACTATTTCCACAAATTTTTTATAGTTTTAATTGTATTTTACACATTTTTTAACCATTATTAATTCTCAGTACACTGTATAATAGAAACAAGACAGTTTTGAGCTGCTGTACAGTATAAGAATTTAATTAAGGTGAATATTATCTTTACAAGAAATCTTAATTTCAGATCCCGATGTTCATATGGCCCTTGGCATAGACGTCACCAATAAAACATCAATAGAATCTGTTATCAAATCGGCCTTTGATAAGTTCCAAACTCCCCCTTGCCTCATAGCCAATGCTGCCGGTATCACACGAGATAACTTTCTGCTTCAGATGGATGAGCAAGCATTCATGGATGTTTTAGATGTGAATGTCAAGGTATGAATGACCTTTTTCAGAAATAATTTAAAATTTATCTAATTACTGTGCTACTGATATTTATATCTTGCCACTGATATTATGTATTCAACCTGATGTTCTTATCATTGTCACAAATGGAAGATGCTTGTGTAACTTTTCCTTACACTTTAGTTTTATAAAATGTTGTACAGGACCACATGTAGATTTATGAATCGGTACAGGATTGTTAGTTTACACACACACTGGTCAAGTGATTAGCTTTTATTTATATAAACTATTTTTCTTACTTTTATTCATTTAAAACTTCCAAAATAGCCTATTTTCTCTTGAATAACTGTTATTTTCATCTTAAATTATATTTGTTTTACAGTCAAGAAAATGAGACCTACAAAGGCCTAATGTAGCAAGGTATTTATATAAAGGCGAGACAAGGAAGGGATGGGTGGGGTGTCTGACTAAAGGCTTAAAGTATAGGCCATTGTGTATGACAGTGCTACAATGTTTTAAATATAATACGGTACAGTAATCTGATTTAAAAAGGATAATACAGTACACTAAGATTTCTGGTGATCTTTGAATAAATTATCAAATGATTTGTAATAGTTTGTGTATTTATAACTGTATGCTTTTATCAGTTTTTTCCTGTGACATTAATAATATAACCTTTTACAGGGTACTTTTCTGGTTACTCAGGTAGCTACAACAGCTCTTCTAGAACATGATCTGACTTCAGGTTCTATTGTAAACTTTTCCAGCATTGTAGGGAAGACTGGGAACATCGGCCAATGTAATTACAGTGCCAGCAAAGCAGCAGTACAAGCCTTGACTAAGTCATCTGCATTGGAATTAGCAAGGTACAGTTTCTTGTTTGCAGATCTTGGATAATATGTGCAGTACAGCATTGTATTTTTGCAGCTATTTTGTGTTGTCAACCATGATTTTGTATGACAGTAAATCTAAAAGCTGTATGCAATTTTTGTTATCGTCATTTGTTTAGTGTAGTTTAAGCAAAATTATCTGGAAATATAATCACTGGATCTGTGAGGTGTACACATCATCAGAATTGTGTAGCTACATACTGCTGTGTATGGGACACTTTAAAAAATACTGAAATAATTAATTTCATCAAAGAAGCTGTTGTGAGTAGCCACATGACAGGACTCTAAGGCCCCCCCCCCTTACTATCCCCTGTCCCCCGAGTAATTTTTCACTATACTGTATTTTGTCAATTTTCTTTTTTTATTGCCATTTTAAAGCTTTAATTATTAGCTACATTCTGAGCTTTATTTGAAAAAATTGGTCAACTCCTAAATATTTTATTTTGATTTTTAATAGCAAGAAAATCTTGCAATAATGGCAAGTTGCCACCTAATATGTTGTTTTGTAGTGTTTGTTTTACATTTTCATAGCAAAAAAAATACATTAACTAAATACAAATCATTGAAAAATATTAACTAAATACAAATCATTGAAAAATATTTACACAGTAAGTACTCTATATAATTAAAATTAATGTTGTTGAGGATTTGCGACACTTTTTGCCAGGAAAATTAAACTCTCAAAATACCATTTCTTTATTTCTTTTAGTGAAAACTGGTTTTTTTTTATTTAATTATAATGAAAATTTCATCAATACATAAGTCAACAGGCTTCGCAGCTTATACTGTTGGATTTCTAAAATTTGCTTAAACATATTTTTAGTAAAAAAATTATTACAAGAAAATATAATTTAGTTTGCACAGTATCATTTATAGAACCTTTTTTGGTCTTTCCAATAATACCAAAGAAATAACTTTGAGGTAATAATTATTTGCAAATTGATATAAAGAATAGACATAATTTTTTAATTTTTAACATAATTGTTAGGGATTATGCTTGTGGTTAAAGCTTTAGTATCAAAGAAATATAAATCTGAAAACATTATTCTAGAGTAAAGTTGACTTGGAAGTCACCTTAATCTATGCACATTCTTACCATGCTGTTAATATTAGTTTCACTTGCAAAGAGTTTTATGTCTCTCGCAGTTCAAGTTCTCCAATGCTACTCAATATTTCAGATATTGGTTTTGGCCCTCTATCAACCCACCATCATAGGCATTACTTCAGTCCTTTTTTAAATTACATTTTTAGTATTCATTCAACATTATAGTACTGTACAGTACTTTTGTATTATGCTTTGAACTTTTTGCATTTTCCCTTACTATGTCATCATTCTATCATCAAAGTTACAGTAAACTTTAAGACTCGGAACCATTAACATTTGCCTAAGAGTGATTGTTACGGCCAACCATTTTTTCTACATGAATTAATTATCATTTTGTGTGAATTATTTATCTGCTAATTTTACTCAGAGCTGAATTACTAGATTTTTTAAATATTCAGTTTTTCCTTGCTCTTGCTTTCCTCACAGAGTGGGTGTTCGTGTGAACTGTGTGCTTCCTGGATTCACCAACACTTCAATGGTAGAAACTGTGCCAGAAAAAGTGAAGAACAAGCTATTGAAACTTACTCCACTCAATAGACTAGCACAACCTGAAGGTAGAGTGGGAATGTCTGTAATGCCCCAGGAATAAATGATAATGGCTGTCTGCTGAATGATTTGCACAGTGAAAGAGAGTTGTCTATTATTAAACCATTTTTTAAATACAGTCTGGCTATACATAGAGGGGTAAATATACATGGTACAGGGCAAGTTATGAATGTGCGGAAAAGTCTAATTGGCTATGTGCGTGTTGAATGAGTCACCGATACATGTGATATGAGTGGAGGAGGAAGAGGAATATTGGAATGTTTGTCTAGTCATATGTTAGCACTGTATTGTGTAAGACCAGATTAAGTTTTAAAAGATTCAAAGAGGTGAAAGAATAGTTACAAATTTGAGTGAGAAAGTTTGTAGACGAGTACAAAAATTTGAACTGATCATGTTCAAAAGCAAAAGACTGAACAAATGAATTTTAGGGATATATGGAAGATTTAAAGAAGTATTTTGTTAAGAATGTCAAGGAAGTGTATGGGGGTGCACAAAGTGATAAAAAAATGAGAAGGAAATAAATGTGAATGGTGAAGTGGTCAATCAATTTAAATACCAGGAGTGTATGAATAATAGAAAAAGGAATTTGTGTAATTGATTTGGAGAGTTGGTCAGTTGGGGAAAGAAAAGTAGCTGGCATAATGAAAGCACTGATTAGAAAACTATAATAGGAATAGAGGATGGCAGGAGGCAGCATAATGAAGGGATAGTGCTGACTTTTATGTACAGTTGCAAGACATTGTAGGAAAATCAGTACAGTACCTTGAGCTGTAGAAATGGATAACGGGAAAAGCATGTGTGGTAGTAGGAGAATAAGAGACTACTGTATTGTTAATATGTACTGTACAATGTTACAAGATAATGAACAAATAGTAGAGGAATGGCATTTGTATTGATGTATCACAAGAGAGAGAGAAAGAGATTTGTGTTTTTAAGGTTATTCATAATGTTTTATTCTGAGACACTGGCATTTGAAACTGGCAATACCTTTATCAATCACATGCAATAAGTAAAATTTTAGTCAATTCTTACATGATCTATTTTTGTGTATGCTTACTGAGGATGAAATCATATTTTCTGCACATTGTATGTATCTTGAAAGAAGTAAGTGACTTCTGCTCAACTGATCTTACAACCAATTACTTATACATATTTGTACTCTGATTTTTGCACTTGTAGATGCTATACAGTATTGAGATCATCAGAAAATGACATGTGTGAAGATCTCTCTTGTCTGATACAATTTTGAACATGAATTTGAAATCAGTGTGCTATGCTTTCTGTAGGAAATTATTTTAATACAATTTTTTTCTGAAACAGAGATTGCTGAGGTTGTAGCATTTTTACTCTCCGAGAAAAGTAGCTTCATGACGGGTGCCTGCGTCGAGGTGACAGGGGGACTTGCAATGTGAGTGATACAGAGGCAAAAGGATAATTTTTTTTTAATGGGGATTTTATGTGTATATATAATACTCCTCATGTCATTCATATTATATCATTAAAGAAAATGTAAACAAATATGTGCTTGTATATTTTCCCCATTTATTTTATCATTAATCTCAGCAATGTCAGTAAATATTTTTGATGGACTTTTCTGTCTAATACCAGTATGTTTTTGTAACTTTATATATTATGTTCCTTCTGTATCTGAAAAGTTTATGGAAAGATCTCCCATCACCTCTGCATTCTAAATTATTAGATACAGTTAGTATAACAATTTAAATTATTTTGAACTAAGCTCTGTTAACATTACTGAAACTGTCATAATTATAACAGCTCAATTATTTTTGGCCATTATATTAAAATGCATATGTAGCAAGCTACAGGAAGCTAGAGAGAGCGTGTGAGAAGAGATGGAGAGAGGGTGACATGGGTAAGGGAAGCTGGGAGAGATAGAATGAGAGGCATGTTCTCATTTCATCATTTCTCATCTCATTCATTCATTCCATTTCATTTATTTTCATTCATCATTCATTTCTCATCTCATTTCAATTCTCATCTGAGAATTCTTCTCAGATATCTTCTCTGAGAATTCTTCTCAGAGAGGAAAAGGGAAAGAGGGGGGGGGGGAGGAGGGAGGGAGGGAGTTATCAGTGGAAAGCACCAAGCCATTACGACTATATAGCACTGGGAAGGGGTCAGGATAAGGATTTGGGATGGGACGGGGGAAAGGAATGGTGGCCAACCACTTGGACGGTCGGGGATTGAATGCCGACCTGCATGAAGCGAGGCCGTCGCTCTGCCGTCCAGCCCAAGTGGTTGGGTAGGGGGGGGGGGAGGAAGAGATTTAGTGAAAAAGGGAGAGTGGGTGAGAATGAGAGAGAGAGAGGGCAGCTGTGATGGGAAAAGAGATAGGGGAGGATCTAGTGAGAGAGAGAGAGTTAGGGATTGTGAGTTAATAAGATGTTGCACCTCCAGCTTGCATAACCACACTTACTACACCATAATTAGAATCTTTAACTCAACCACCACCCTGAATTTTCATTAATTTGTTCTTGTATTAGTTTCCGGATTCAGGGAACAAGAAGTGAGGTAAAGGGAAAAGACATCTTGATATGCTGCTGTCTATGTATGTGCATGGTATAGGAACACATTAGGACAGTCATGGGCCTTTCAGTTTGAATAACTCCCAGCCACTTAGTTAACACAACAGATGAGAGGGAGAATAAATAGAATAGTAATCTCTGGACACTTCAGTAATCATTGACTTACTCATGGAGGGTGACTTATAATTAAGGGCACTAATCAGAGGGATCAAGGGACGTATGTAAACTGCTGAAAGACAGCACATTAGTACAATTGCAGATATGATTAATACACAGCAGTAGAAGTTTAAATATAATAGGCTGTCTCATTTGATTCAATAAACTAACTGCATGTATATTTCCCTACTTGAGGTAACAGAATTGATGATGTAAAGTGATAGAGACAAAGATTTGTACTTATTCTACTCTGCCTGAAGTTCTGATGTTCAACCCTCCTAGGCCCATGCAACACATGCTCCAAGTTGTACTCTACTCCTCACTGCCTACTCTGTCTATTGTTCAATCTTGTATACAACGGCTGAGAGTCATGCGAGGCCCTGTGGTATCTTTTGATCCTGTCTAGTACAGTACTCTCGAAGTCATTTAGCAAATCTGCAACATATCTGGCAGCGTTCTCTTAAGCTCCTAACCTACGTGAACATCTCCTAAGTGTGTAAACTACGTGAACAAGAACTAGAACAATTTTGAACACTATGTCTGTGTTGACTCTGTTATCAATGATTTCTGACAAAATGGTATGAGGGACTCTGAGCTCTAACTACTTCATATACTCACAAATATTGGAAGATATGCTAGTGGAGGCTAATAGAATAACTCGCATTTCATGTTCTCGCCATGTTCCATGTACGATCACTAACATCTTGTGAGATGGGGATATTAAATAAACTTGCAGCTTATTTTTTATCTACACTCTGTAATCTTTTATACAGAATAGGGTAGCAGCACATTAATGCTGTGTATACATATTAATTAATGCCTGTTGATGAATAAATTCTGGTGCAAAATTTGCAATTTCAGTTATCACAAAATTGTTCAATTTTTTTCATTCTCTTCTTCAATTCTTAAATGTTTCTAATCTCATTTTGTTGTAAGTGTTTCCCTATTAAGCTTGAATATTGTTCACCAATTTTGTTTCGCATTATACCCAGAACACACTGTGTATTAGTGGCTTTAGGCACTGTACTTGTCATACCTATAGGAATCCTCCATTGTTCATGTATCTTATGTATGTTTATGTATGTACTGTACTTTTGTCTAAATAAAATATTTGTATTATATTGGGACAATATTACATGTCAACTTTTTGGTAGTTCTCTTGCCACCAGTGACCTATTATATACCCTGGAGAGTGAGAGTGGCAAGCGTCGTGCTTCTGATCCCGTCCTTTAGTATCCATGGTGAGATTCCATCTGGGCCAACAGCCATTGTCATGTCCAGTTCCAGTAGATGCTTCCTTACCTCACCACTGGTAATCTCAGATTCCTCCAGTGTCTAGTTAAACACCCCCTCTCTTAATTCATGAGCCTCTTGCTCACTTGTGAAGACCTGAAATTTTCTGTTAAGTTCCTTGCATACATTATTTATTTATTTATTTATTTATATATATACAAGAATGTACATTGGGTTTATGAGCGTACATAGCATTGATCTTTTTACATTTTTGCAAAGGCACCAACATGCATAGTATTTTGAGCAGAGACAAGTCTACCTTGTCATACCTTCTTGTCATTCTCAGTAAACCTGTCCACTTCTATTCTTAGTGTCCTTACCTTCACTGATTTTTCCTCTTGATGTGGCTGTGAAGCAATTTATTTTCTTTATTTGCTATGTTATTTTCATACTGTGTCTGCCTCTTTCGCTCTGAGGTACTTATTCCTGGTCCTCTGCTATCTTTGCTGCCTTGTGTTCTGTGGTTTCTCCATGCCCTTGTACTTGTATGCTGTGCCACCTTACAGTCCTGATTAAACCATGGGTTTCTCCTTTGCATTTCGTTTTGTGTTTTGCCTTTTGAACCAAGATAAATTTGTCTGCTGCTTCCTGACACTTCTGGGTGATGTAGTCCATCATGTCTTGTGCAGCCTTTCCTCTGAGCTCTGCAACCTTTTCCACTACTGCCCACAGGATGGGTATGGAGTACATAATAAATTAAGTAAGCTATATTATAACTGCTATAATTACTCGTGTTTTCTGCTCAATACCTGCATGTAGTGATTCAACAATTTATAAGTCTGGTGTGCCATCACTTTGATTACTGTACCCAAGCATGGAGACCTCATCTTCAGAAAGACATAGCTGCTTTGGAGAAAGCTCAACACCGGGCAACAAAAATCATTCCAGAACTAAGTCATCTCTCATACCAGGAATGGTTGAAGGCCACAGGGCTAACAACACTGCACTGTGAATCTCTCAAACTTAAAATACTGAACAAATTGAACGATGTTGATAAAGACAATTTCTTCAAAAGGTTAGATGTAACAAACAAGGAGCAATGGTTTCATACTCAAGAAGCCAAAGTGTAGGACTGAGAACAGGAGATGCTTTTTTACCCACGGTTATAAACACATTGAACGGCGGGTGTTGTGCCTATCACACATTAATAAAGAAAAAATAAAGCTGCCTTGTCCTTTACAGTGTACCAATTGCGGGCAAAAAAAACAAGAGAATAAAAACTTTAAATATGTAATAACAAAAAATGGCTAATTTTACACAAAATAATAATAAACAATGACAAAAAAAGTTGACCACTTGGCTTAACACAATCAAAAAGAAAATATATACAAGTGAATTTACATTACTGACAAAAGATGAATGTGCCACTATATACAATGTGCTCTGGATGTCAACCATCACCCATTCGTAAGAATATCAAGGTAAGGGAAGACTCAAATGAACTGAGAGAGCACCAAGAGGCTTCTGGTTGACAACGGCTGTTTGTTGTTTATGATTCGCTACTTGGAACAAAAAGTTGCAAGTAGCACGGGCTATGGTGAGCCCGTAGTGAACTTACCTGGCACAGGAGTAGAGCTGTAACATGTTGACCACGGATTGATTGATTGATGAAGATTAAACCATCCAAAAGGTGGCATGGGCATGAATAGCTCTAAGTGGTGGCCTTTTGGAGCCATTACCAGTATCATTAGCTGATACTGGAAATCTGTGGAGGTGTGACTGCACCCTAAGGAGAGGTCGTGACCTCAAACCTGCAGCTTGTCAAAGGTTCCCCCCCCCCCTCATTTGCCCTGATGATTTTTCCCAGTTCGATTTTACAAATTAACAGTTTTGGCACTTAGGCTTCGGCGGGTAGACAGTTCCATTGTTTTTTTAAATAACCCTGTGGGTAAAAAAGCATCTCCAGTTCTCAGTCCTACATTGTGGCTTGTTGAGCTTGAAACCGTTGCTCCTTGTTTGTGTTACATCTGACCTTTTGATATTTTAGGGTTCCGGTAGTACAGTCGGGTTCGTCCGGGTTCGAACCCTGGGTGGGCACATTTCCTTTCACCTAATGCCTCTGTTTATCTAGCAGCAAGTAGGTACTGAGGAGTTAGTCAGCTTGTAAACTTGCAACCTGGGTAGGGTCAGTAATTTGACCTTGAGAGGGGGGTGGAACCTCGATGGGGTGGAAGCCTAACGTGAATGTATACACTCTGGCTTCCTGTCCCCCCGACACAATGAATTATGAATTATATTAATTCATAATCAATGAATTATAATAATTAAATTAATGTTAGCTCGGTTAACATTTAAAGTACAACTGGGTAAGAGGCAAATGGATGGGACCTTCGACAAGCCGCCGGCTTCTTGTCCTCATGGAGGCCAATAGTGTTTCTCAGGTAAACTCAGGTAAAGTATATGGAGGGTTGTTTGAGTATTCTTGATCAACGAAACTATTAATGATTTTTGAAAGTTGAGATCGAGTCAGTTCGTTGCAACAAGAATACGATATAGGACCACAATATAAGACAGAAAACAGGAGATGCTTTTTCACCCATAGGGTTATTAAAAAAAAACTTATGGAACTGCCTACCCGCCGAAGTCCTAAGTGCCAAAACTCTGCTGAATTGTAAAAATCCCAAATTGATAAAATCGTCAGGGACAAATAGAGGGACATTTGATAAACCGAGGACCTTCCTGTCCTCGACGAGGCCACTAGAGAGACAATAGGCCTCAGGTAAATTCAGGAAAACTCCTGAAGTGGAGGGATTTAAATACATACATAGCCTAGTTACTGTTTATTCGTCATGGATATATTACATATCTTAGGTATATTAGGAAAATGAACAATCCAACAATCTCCCTAATATTTGCTTAATAATTTATTTAAAACAAATTACTTATAATGCTATGCCTTAGGAAAAAATGAGGAAAGTTCATCCAACGGGCCATCCACGCTAAAAGGAACACTCTGATCTTTAATGACTCTTGTTTCCAATAAAACATTGTGTATTTCCTTTCAGAAAGTAACATTAAGCTTCACTAGCTATATATAGATATTATAGCTACAATCGTTGGGAAAGTAATATAATTTTAGTGGAAGATAATCAATTAATTAACTTAGCAACCCAGTCAACTTTATTAATACAAAAATGATTTTACTCTGTGACCTCAACGAAAGTAGGTCAAACGATATATAAAGTTATTTACAGTGAATCAAATCACCACAGTGTGTATATTGGTAAAAAAAATTGATATATATTTGACAGTTGTACAAGATCGGAGTGTTCCGGAGACAGTACTGCCATCTGTTGACGGGGACGAGAACGTGTGTCGGGAGCCACGTCATTTGCTCTGATACTGACTTTGTCTGCCTCACTCCAGCCAAAATGAACATTTTTAGGTTGGCAGGGGACATTTCCCACCTCTTGGCAATTATTATATTGCTCCTGAAGATCTGGTCGAGTCGATCATGTGCAGGTGAGCGGCGTACATGTGTTAATATATGTGTTATGTGAGGAGATTAAGGGCGGGCCCGGTTTGTTTATCACGGCCCGTGTTGATGACCCAACCAGCTGACGTTTGCTATAGGTCAACATTTAGGACAGTATTGCTTCATTATTAACAACCAAAGTGGTCTCGAGAGTGATGACGTTGGTTTGGTTTTGGGTGAATGAGATGTATGAATGTGTGAATATAGTTTAATGTTGGTTTATGTTGAGGGAGCCGAGGTGGGCCCCTACGCCTGACAAATTACTAATTTTCGTCTATTGTTAAGTGTAATTATTCATATATGCTTATACTGGCACCAGTTTAATGGAATGGCAATGAAAATTGACCTTGTATCCTATTCGTCTCTGTTTAGACCAGATTTGGGATCATAGGTAGTTTTTGTTATAATGAGAAATTAAATCAAATGTAACCACTTTAATTTGCTAAACAAATAATTTTCTTAAAATTCGCCAGGAAATGTGCACAGAATAGTCGGAAACCGAATGTTCTTCTATTAAAGATTCACATCATATACCTTTTGTGTTGATATATATATTCTTAGTTATTGTAAGAATCCCCGACCGTCCAAGTGGTTGGGCACCATTCCTTCCCCCCGTCCCATCCCAAATCCTTGTCCTGACCCCTTACAAGATCTATAAAGTCGTAAGGGCTTGGCACTTTCCCCTGATAATTAAAAAAAATATTAGTTGTAATTTTAGTGATTGTTTTCTATCCACTGGTGCAAGTTTATGAAGTTAAAAAAATCTATAATGCAGGTGTGGGGGAATGGCATTAAAAGTTTTGCTCTCATAGCCCTTCACCAAAAAAATTATAAAAAAATGTTTTAAGGAAAAACTTTGAGATTGGCCAAGATTATCTCTGGTTGGTTCCCCCCTGATACTTTGGTTGGTCCTCTGATAAGCTCTGCTCACTCTGTGCTCAGCTGTTTCAAGAGCTTCATTATAAATTTGCAAATAGAATATCAACTGATTTTGGGAAATTCCGAGTTCAGATGACACATTTTAGCATCATTGGAATGTTGACAAAACATTTCTGATGATGCTAGAATGCATCATCAGAATGCTAAAAGTGTTAGTGAATTATCACATAATAATTAGCATTTTGTCATTTACTTAGAGGGTGCATACGGCCCATTGCTGTACGTAGCCACCTCTAACCCTATACCATCATCATTTACTTGGAGAGGGGTGCATATCTGATGTGGGTTTCAGTTCTTCTACTACCCGAGCCTGGCCTGGGGGCCATGCTTGCTTGAATCCTGATGTTGCTTAAATAATTCCAATAGCTCAGTGGTGTCAGCAGTCATAGGTGGTCACAAAATAGACATCCTTCAGCTCCTGGTCTCCCATCTTATGATTGTATCAACTGCCTGCCCCAACTTAAGGTCGTCACTATACAGTATAAGACTGTTATTTTTGTTTTTTAGAAAGGATAAGAGATGGAAAGTGGTTAGTGAAGCCTGGTCATTGGGTGAGCCTTAGGTTGTCTGAAGTCAGTTACAACAGAGCTAAGTAGAATCAAGTTAGAAATGATTGTTACTATGTAATAGCAATCATAAGAAAATATATACAACACTGTGGATATATTTTTTGTTTTTACATATGTGAAAATCAATCATTACTTTACTGTTTATGTAGCCATACTGACTTAACATTTTGTTATAATTACATGACATTAATTTTCAGGTATCTCTGGAAAGTCTCAGATGATGTTCGCTCTCACATACACTACGAGATACCTGGATCTCTTCACCAACTACATTTCCCTTTACAATTCCTCCATGAAGGTATGAAATGGGAGTAGATTCTCCAGTTATAACTGGTCTATTTATAGTTCAGTATAGTTTACTCATTCATAAACTTGTATTGATTGTTCTTACTTGTAGATTGTCTGATGCCATTTTATAATATTTTGGTTACAAAATGCTTTGCAATTCTTGGGTTGATTTGTTTTGATCGTACTGTTCTAACTACAATGTGATAATTGCATTTTCTTACAATTGTCAATGTATTTTAAGATAGTAATACTTAATAGCAAATTTAAAGTACAAGTTTATTGTAGAATACAGTAATTGGTTAATGACTACACATCAGTGTTATGGCATTGACTCCTCTAACCATTGGAAATGAAGCAGAGTAAAACACCAGAGAGTTTTGAGAAAAGGTAATATTGTCATTGTTGTAGATGTGATAATGTATTATAAATATGGGATAAAATAGGTGGAAAGTTTTTTTTTTTTTCAGCAAAAGAACATGAAGTTCAGATGTTGAAGATTGACTTGTACTGTATAATATACAGTACACATACAGGTATTATGTGCTGTGTGTATATATATATATTTGCCAGCAATTCTAGCATGAACTCACTTGAACGAATTATATGGGGTGAGGCCGATTCATTTCATAAGGGATTTTGTTCTGTCTTGGATCCCAGAACCTCCCCTCTTGCAGGTTAAATAATAATAATAATAATTTTTTTTTAGAGGGCGTACATTCACAATAATGAATATAGTACCTGTATAGGTTTGTGACTTGCCATGATTACAGGGATGCTGTAACACAGCTGCATTCCAATACATGGGCGGAATGCCCATGTATCGGAATGCATAAGTCTGATATACATCACTAATGTGATATATATCAGAGAAAATCCACTAGGGCCATGACCTGTGACCAAGGCATTGCCAGCCATATGCTGTACCACTGGACCACCGCTGTCTTGTAAAAGTCATACAACCAGAGTTCTACTGAAATCACAAAGTCTGGAGGCCCCTACTGAAGCCAATCAGTAGCTCCTATTGATTGGCTACTCCAGACTTCCTGTGATTTCAGAAGAAATCCGGTTGTATGACTTAAAAAGTCGGCGGTTGTCCAGTGGTACATTGCCAGCTTTTGCGGCTGGCAATGCCTTGGTCGTAGATTCGTGCCACCTCAGCCCTAGTGGATTTTCTCACTGTGAAGATTGCTCAACTCCAACAGTTATATTCAGGGTACAGAAGAATGTGTAGTATATTCTAGTTATATACAGAAGTTACTATATGGTAACATGGACTGTAAAAAAATAATTAAAGTGGTCCCAATTGTAATGTGATCTGCTAGTGTGTACCATATCCTTTACCAAATTTATATGGTATTTGATTATCAAATTTTCTTTAAAATTGTCCTTAATCAAAAATTTGATTTGACCTGTAGACATTTGAGAATTTGTGATTTTATTTTGTATTTTCCTGTATATATATATAAAGTGCATCAGTGATATTGTCTGTGTGCAACAGGTGAATGATATAATAAATAAGTTGTATTTTTACTTTACTATTTAATATCTGTAGCCTTCTTGCACTTAATTATTCACATTTTTTTGTATGCTGACTTTGGCACTTTGAAAATAGAGAAACGAGGTTCTGATACAATACAGTATATATAATAAAAAAAAAAATGCATAGATGATAGAATGTGTATTAACAACTTCCAATGATTTGCAGGTGATCTTCTTGGCAGCTTCATATGCTACTCTGTATCTTATATACATTCGCTTTAAGGCAACTTATGACCACAACCATGATACCTTCCGTGTAGAGTTTCTGCTGATTCCAACAGTCATACTTTCTCTCCTCATCAACCATGATTACTCTCCCCTCGAGGTAAGACAGCAACATGCAAATTATCACCCATAATGGAAACTGTGCCGTATGTAGAATCTTCTCTAAAAGGGTGAGGTGTCTGGAAGATACCATTTTGCTTGCAAGGCAAAACATTATCATCAGTAGCCACAAATATTGTCTGAATAATACACAGTTGTCTGTAAGTTAGTTTGATAAGTTTAAATGGTCAAAACTTGCTAGGCTTTTGAAAAGAGGTGGCAGTAAGACCTCCACCACTTTTGCCAATTATTTCCAAGTACCGTATTGAAGCTCAAATGGGCTTGTTCTCGTAATTTAAACCTGAGACCTCAACACCTTGTATTAAATGTTCACCAGGTTGTATATGCGAATTAAAGGTAGAACTAAAGTACTGCATTGTAAGGTGCATGGGGTCTGTGCACCCATCGTTATGATTTTGAAATGATATTTTTGGTACATTTAATATACAGTATTTGAAATTATCGAAGTTGGCATGGTAGCTACCCACTTACCCACCCGGACCTGAAAAATACAAAAATTCTTTAATGAGCTAACAGTTATTTGTTTAAATATCAACTTGCATTTTTTTGCCTTTTGGTTAAATAGATAAAAAAAACCAGGTCCCAATCTGGACGGGCTGGGTTTAAAGAAGAAAATCTAGTTTTATACCAACCATGATGCAATAATGTAGTATTTACAAAATTTCTTTATTTTTTGCAGATCTTGTGGACTTTCAGCATTTACTTAGAAGCCGTAGCCATCTTGCCACAGTTGTTTATGGTGTCAAAGACTGGTGAAGCGGAGAGCATCACATCCCACTATTTGTTTGCTCTGGGTTCATACCGGGCCCTCTACATTTTCAACTGGGTTAGTATGCTTGCTGCATATGATTTCCACATTGTTGCATTAGTTTAGTTTATCTTTTATATGGAATAAAGGAATGATCTTCTCTTTGCCTCATGTCTAAATATCATTATAATATAATGGAATAAAGTATTTCTGTATGGGTACATGAGTTGTCTAAAAGGCAGGAGGAATGGGAGGAAGAAGGGCATTTAAGGCTTCTCTTAACTTCAAAAGGTTTGTGTTGAATTGCAGAAATAAAAGCATAGAGACAGGATTGCCACCTTGTTGGATGATAGACTGGTGTATTGTATAAAATTACAATCGACCCCCAATGGTTTGGCTTTCAATAAACCGAGTTGTGGATAAATTTTGTGCACTGTCGCACCATAGTAGTTGATGCAGGGGAATAGTGATATATGGTAATGTCTTGGCTTGCATTCATTCTTTGTACATTAGTCTAACTGCTGGAAACAAAAAATAATTAGAATATATGAACTACAGAGGTTAAGGTTTGTATACAAAATTATATGCAGATGGGCTATGACTGGAAATGCTTTTGCCTGTGCATTCAGTAGTTTTTTTATTGAAAAAAGGGGATACTGTGTATTCTGTAGTACCGAATGCCTTTAACAAATGCAGAAAACATTTTTGCTCATTTTCAAGTTTCTTGCATGGTTTTAGACTATTGTGGGAGCATTTCATGATTATTATTATATTCTCATTAGTTTGCACCATTAGACACTGATATGAAATTAGTTTACTGTCAAATTGTTGACATTCTCGGAACAAAATGACTACTAATACCAAGTAGTAATTGATCAGTGTTTGTCACTTCTTTCCTGCTATCCACTTGCTTATGTTACATTTTCTATGTACAGTACGCATATATATATAAATATCAATGCATGTTTCTGCTTGGGCTGAACGGATGAGCAACATTCTCTCTATGCTGGTCAGCCTTCAATCCCCAACTGTCCAAGTGGTTGGGCACCATTCCTTTCCAAACCCGTCCCATCCCAAATCCGTATCCTGATCTCTTCCAAGTGCTATATAGTCATAATATCTTGGCACTTTTTCCTGATAGTTTCCATTCCATTCCTGCTGCTGAGCTTTTCACAATTGTATTATTAGTTATGTAGGTTAGGATAAAGTGTTCATTTATGCCCGTTCACCCATAACTATTTTTATCATTGTGGTATGTAATTTTTTTTTATAATAGATGTACTTGTATACAGGAAAGGTTTTTGTGATTAAGTACAATTGTTAAGAATGTTTATGTATTAATATAGGGCTGTGTTTATTCCACTGCCTACCCACTTTATAGTGCCAAAATCCCCCTTACTCTTGTTAGATAAAGGTGGAGATTATATTTGGAATGTGTAATTTGGCTACTTACCACTTAAAAAAAATGGAGGAAGTCACATTTACTGTTGGTTTGCCATAAATATGTATGTGGTATAAGTTTATTGAGGTAAAATACACACAAAGGGATGAGGTAGATCAAGCTATTCTCACCCCATTTTATGTGGTATTGTGGGGTAGAGATTGATGCTTTTTGTTTTCTAAAAATTTCTTTAGAACATTTGTAGCATTTTATTTGTTTCAGGTTTACCGCTACTATGCCGAAGGCTTCTATGATCTGATCGCCATTGTGGCAGGAGTTGTGCAAACAGTTCTCTATTGTGACTTCTTCTATCTCTACATCACCAAAGGTATGATCTATATACTGGGATAACTGAATTTAGCTAGTGAATATTTATAACAAAACTATCAGGTTAGATAATTAAATTGCAGTTATGTATAGTACAGTATGTCTGTCTGGCACTATTTAACAAACAAAACATCGAATTGATTTGGCACTCGGGATACTCCCCAGTCTTTTATACTAAGTTTTTTTTTTTAGTTTTTTTTTTTTATCTTCCGTCAGTTAGCCTGTGTTTTAAACAAGAATAAATCTTTAAATTTAAGAATATAATATTTGCTATCAATTCACAAAGAATGACCAGTACCTGGCTAGAGGTAATAGTGACACTAGTTTGATTTTAACAGCAAAAGCTGATTTTATACTTACGATTATTTTATACTATATACTCTTCACGGTACAGTATTCTACATGTACTGTAATTTAAATAATACCAGTAGCTAGTTTTTTCATATCTGTACCTCCATATAACGAATCCTTTTAGACATCGGATCATATCTGTTTGCCATACAGTATTTTTCCACTGAAATTAGGATTTATTAAAATTAAGGGGGGGTGGGGGTGGGGGAATGCAGCAAAATCTAGATAATCAGTTTATGCAAAGTAATATCTATACAAATTTTTTTTATTTTCACTAATCATACTTTTTTGTAATTTGTATTCAAATAATTTCTTCATCTTTTAGAACTGTTTTATTAAGCTTTTACTGTACTATTAAGAAAACCAGTTCACTTAACTTTTTCTGAAACATCCATACCTACTCTGAGGGCACATGTAGTCCGTTTTTCTTGTGTCGTCGTTGTCTACCCTCTCGTTACTCAACTATTTTCACTTTCAACTTGCAAATAATATAATTACTTGCAAGTTGAAGCCATATTGTGTGGCAAGAGTGATACGGGTAGACAAGGGTAAGAAAAACGTCCTTACCGGATACCTAACGTATCCGGTAAATGTCCTTACCTAAACGGATAAGAAGGGGCAAGTAATTAAAGAAATAGATCACATCTGGAAAGGCTATCACCTGGCTGAAGAGTCACTTTGTGAATAAAATTGAGAGCAGTGGTGTAAAGAGAAGTGACAGCATTGAAAACCTCTAAACATGAGGGCTCTCGTTGTTGGGGACAGTTGGCATAAACCATTGGTATTGAAGGACTTCAATGCCAGCTCAGAGTAACTGCAGAAGTTACAGATGTCATAATATAGACAATAACTGCATTTTGCTGCCACCAGATTATCAAGACTGTGCTGCAAAAAGGGTAAATGAACAAATTACTGTTTACATTGTGTTTGCCATGCATTATTTATATGCATGCAAAATCAATACTTAAATTTTTGTTCGAGAACTGGGTTTCGTGCAAAGCCAAGTTGGTTCAAAAACTATATACTGTAATCCAGATTTTGTACTGGACGGTACATTTGTGCAAGAACTAGTCCTCTTCATATTTAATCTCTTGATGCACACTTAAGGGACTAGCTTTGAAGAAACTTGTGCACAAAGCATTTTTTTTTTCTTTTTAATCTAAATGTGTGTTATGCCTTATTCCTTTTAGTAACTCGTTCCTTAGAGTTGTGGTCTCGAATAAGATTCAGTCATTTCAACTGTGCGATTTCTCTTTTTGTAATGTCATTGATTTCATAATGAAATCTTGCTTAGATCATATTTAGGTGGTATGTTACTTTCAAATTCTTGAAGCATTAAGTAAGTTTCTTGCATTGTAAATTGTGTACTGTGCAATTTCAAGATGTTGCAGAAAGATTGCAGAAAAGTATCTGTTGTAAATATTGTGTACCAGTGCGAGTGAATCTTGGAGAACAAGTGAGTCAATTTCCAAAGATTTAGCTTTTAAATTTGAAAATATTCTTCATTTCAGTGCTGCAAGGCAAGAAGCTCCAGTTACCAGCCTAAAGCAGCTCCGGAATGCTTTTCTTGGTGTTGCCTCACCCCTTTGAATACCGAGCTGTCAACGGTGTTACACAAACCATGGATTTAGTAGGGCGACATTTGTTCTTTAGTTAATTTGGAACTTTTTATATATTTCTTTAATAGAAATGATAGCTCTTGTAATGAAGCTAAACAAAGATGAGCTGATTGGTCTGTGTCAAAACTCACAAAATAATAGATTTTTAATGAGAATGTGGAATGCAAATTATATACTTTGGTTATAGAAATTATATGAAAAACCTTGTAAACGAAAAAAATTAATAAAAAATCTCATTTTATCGATGGATATTATAATTTGAGAAGTAATAGCAGACAACGTAAAGGATATGAGCGCTAACAATTTATCAAAAACATCCGCTTGTAATAGTGTTGGTCTAATTCATTTGGTTTATGTGAATCTTTGGTTGTACTTGTTTATTACATTTCACTATTTAAGTAAAAATTTTATATCGGCACATGTTGGAATGATTTTGACGTGATGCTTTGAGGTAGCAAACTGTGTGGCAAGTGCTCAAGATTTGATAGCACAGACGGCTGCACAAAATCATCTGAGAACTGTACAAGTGAACATCTAGCATTGATGACAGTGAAGTGACCCTATGAGTAAGCTCGCACAAGAGTAATATTGTAAAGATGTCACTCTTTGATTCGGTGAATATTAGTGGAAGCTAATGGTTAACAGTACTGTAATTTCAAAATATTTGTTTTTGTAAATGAATACATCTTAGAATCATAAGCACCATTATTTCAGTGACCAGTATGTCAAGTGAAATATGCAAGCATTGTAGGAATAGTATACATTAGTGTATCATTTCTCAAGCTTATGGAAAAATTTGTTGTAATTAGGTTACTCTCATGATTTTCATCTATCATATTTTGAGTGAATGTGATATTGGTTAACATTTGTGACAAGATGTTTAACTTAGTTCCAGCTACAGTATTCTGTATTAAGTGAAAGCACATAACACACAGTGTAAAGTGCTGCATATAAATGTGTGTACATCTTGTTACAAATAAGTAATGATGATTGCGACTTTGAGCATTAATTCTGTTAAGGACCATTATTTTGCGCAGCAAGACAGATTGATGTCCTGTTCTTGAGGACGAGGAAGACTTCCAGTATGCACTTTTCATATTCAGTTAGCTTTTACTAAGTTAAGCAGTAGACATAGCTATGTATTGTACAGTATAAATGCCTCTTTATACCTTTGTTGTTTGTACTCCAGTGATGGAGAACAATGTGATGGAAGGGAAAATAAATACTTTTTTCTGGGTATATAGTAAAGGATATCTTGGATTTATTTAATTGTAAGAAGTACTAAAGTTTTCCAAATAGAACCGGAAGTTCAGTAAAACATTTGAAATTTTACTAATGGCATACTTGAAAGGATTAATTGATTTTTATATGTAGATTTCCTTTACTACAATATTATCCCTGAAAACCTCCATTGCTTTCCAGTTCTATACAAAAGGTTAAGTAAATTTTGACAACAAGCAGTCTCTTCAGAAGTTACTGAAATAAACGGTCATTGTGGTGATCAATAAAGTTTGTATAATATGATAAATCAATTAATATCCCAGTCTATTTTCTTAAGTTACACAGGGAAAGACTTTAATAGGGGAGTAGTATATTTGACAAGTGCTGAAAATGTTTTAACTTATTTAAAATATATATTATGATGTTCTCATTCTAAAAAGGTTATGACTGGGTCCTGTGGCACATTGGTAAGTGCAGTTAGAATACTGTACAGACAAATGGTCTTGGCTTGATTTCTGTGGTAGGACAGCAGCCTCTGTAGTGTTTCCTTTCATCTGATGTCTTAATCTAGTAGTAAATAGGTACCTGGGAGCTAGACAATTTTTGTGGGGACCTTGATAACCCTAACAGATCTGTCCCTGACTATGGGGCGACAAGGTGAATTATGATGAAAGTTAATACTGTACTTTAATGGTCTGGCTCATTGGCCCATTCCCAATTCTAAGCGTTCTGGGCATCTCAGGATCCCACTAAGCAACACCCAAAATGTTGATGCTCTCAACATTTTCTCAGTTTTGAGTTATTACTATAAATTTAGTGGCAGAATGTTCGCAAATGAATTTGCAAATATTCTTGGGGTTGATTTCTGTGTAAATCAAGCGCAATGAAAGGCTCTGTACCTCGGGACACAGAGCTTCGTTCTGATGACCTAACATTTAGAGAGCAATACCGGGCAATAGTGTCGCCTAGAAAAATGATAGGATGGATTATGTGAATCTTCAGATCTAGAGAGCCTATTACAATGCTCTTTTTTTTTTTTTTTTTTTAAATCATTTGTGCTGTTTTGCCTTGAGTACTGGTCGATAAGTACTTCCTTCAGAGCAGGAGAGATTGGTGAAATAGGGAATACAGAGAACATAGTCAAGATAGTGCCTAAATTATTGGAACTGTCTCAAAGCTTTCAAAATTTACTCTGGAGAGGAGAGGGTTCTTATAATATATACATGGAAAATGCTGGAAGGCAAGGTCCCAAATTTGCAAATTAAATGAAAAACTTGCTAAAATTAATAATAGGTCAGGAAAATGCAAAATAGAGCCAGTGAAGAGTACAGTTGCCATAGGCACTGGCTGTGCCGTATCCTCTCTGCAAGTATAAGAAAATTGCCAGAACAAAAGTGGACTTCAAGATAAAATTAGACAGTTTCCTGTAAGAAATGCCGGATTAACCAGGTAGTGCGGGTCGTTCCAAGCAAGTCTGGTTGGCCAAGCTCTCTCAAGTCATTCCTGGCCCCGGGCCGGGCTTGGAGAGTAGAACAACTCGCAGAACCCCATCCAGGTTAGAGACGCTGAGCATTTTTTCTCGCTTTTTGCCACCGCGTAGTTTCATCTAGTAATGAATCCTAGCATGTTCTTTTAATTTTTTATTTTGAAGTGGAGAGTAGAACAACCAACACTCCCGAGTCTTGATAATTTTTCTGCATCAATTTAGCATTTTATCCATGTTAAGATACATTTGCTTCCTCTTTCCAGGACTATCCTACTCTTGCTGACAAACATGTTATCTAAAAAAAAATAAAACTGCATGATAAGTCTTTATTAAGGCGAGGCAATATTGCTTGTGCATAGGGAACTATCACATGGTCTGGACCTGTAGAGTATCTGGAGTATATACTGGGCCCACCCTCGGAAATAGTAGCATGTGCTGTTCAAGATCAGTAAAGAAAAAAATATACATGTATTTTGAAACTAATATTTACAAAAAAAATATTTCCGCTGAAAAGAATAAGATTTAATGATGCCGTGTTACCAATTTTTTCCCGCTCATTTAAAAGTTTGGATTCCAGTCCAAAAATATTTCAAATTGTTCTGGTAGTCAAACATTTCAAAATAGAAATAGCCTAAGCTACTCTGTCCTTTTGAGATGTATTTTATTGTTCCAATAAACGCATTTGAACTTGACCACGAGCGAAAGCCTCCAGGCGAGGGAAAATATACCAGCCTTAAATGTATAATTGAAATCGTTTGGTGAAATACATATTCAGGAACTCTGAACAACACCACAACTGTGTTTTATTTCTCAGTGACACGCTAAAGAAGACCTACTACCAAAAGGACTTGGATTCGATTACGGTTGGGATGGCGGGGGGGGGGGGGGGGGTTAAAACACAATATTCATCTAACCTTAGGGTTAGGATTATAATTCTTGAATCAATTCCCCAATAATTAATAAAAGTCAAACAGGAAGGTATAAGACTGGCTCAACAGGTCCACTTGATTTATCTATAGAGAATGGAGCACACGTAGTGTCTCTCATATCCTTTTGCCAGAGAACGGTTTAATAAACCATACTCAACCGTCCCCTGGGGGTTACGGGCTATTCATGCCCGTGCCATCTCTTGGGTGGCTTAATCTTCATCAATCAATCAATCGTCCCCTGGGTCATTGGAGCATTCAATCCCCCCAGCAAGAGGTGTGGAGCTCTTAGGGGAGTAAACCTATACAACTAAAAGTGAATTCACAACTACAAACTCCAGTGCTTAAACAATAATAATAAATTTGTTTTTTTTCGGTAACAACGAAACACCCTTGGTGACACAAAGCTGCTCAATACACACAATTCCTGCGACCTGCAACAACAAGTATTTATAATTGCCGAAATGGCAGCGAATTTATGTAAGACTAAACCACACCAGAAGCAGTGCGGTCTGTTGCATGATGTGAGGAGGACGTGTTGCTCCGCATCTTAGTGTTTGCACGTGGCTGCTGCAGCTAGATGTTGTGAATTTGTTCTCGACTGTTGCAGTGATACAGTGCCTTTGTGTATCGAGGAAATGGCTGAGGCGGTCTGCCTAGGTGATGGACGATCCTGCACTGGGCCTGGAGAGTGTGACAGTGGGGATGGCAGACAGGATGATACTAGGCCGTATCAAGCAGTAGTAAACAGATATAAACGGCGAAATATTCAAAGACAGCAAGACGAAGACAGTGAGGAGGAAATAACAAAGAGACCCAAAAAATGAAGACATGCTCAGCAGGACGCGGGAGATGCAGACTAATGGAAGGAAGAGGCTGTTGTTCCCTACAGCGTGTCAACTGAATTTTCATCAAAAGCTGGAGTGGACGGTTCGTTTGGCTAAGGAGTTTTTTGAATATGAACCACTATTCAAGGAGGGTGCTCACCGGCCCTACATAACAGTTGGGACAGAAAGGCCGTGGAACACCTAACGACGGATGGGTTTGAGAATATTGTGATGGTTACTCCGGAAGAAGGTATGATACACACCAAGGTCATAGTGTTTAAGTATCCAACTTATTTGGATCCTGATTATCTATTGCTCAACAATGATAGTGTTGTTTGGGCAAAGAGGAACAGTGTTCGTGGTGAAAAACAAAGGCAGGTTGTTGCCTTGGTAAAGGGTGAGGCTCCAGAAATAATTTTTGTGCAAGGACTAGGCTACAGGAAAGTTGCAAAATACATTGAGGAGCCCATATTATGCATGAAGTGTTCTCGTTGGGGACATATGGCTTGGAAATGCCAGTTTGACTCCAGGTGTCGGTACTGTGGTAAGAAACACGACTCTCGAGAGTGTAGAGTCAAGATTAAAAACGGTGAAAAAATCGTCCCATCTTGTTGCAATTGTCGAGGCAGCCACAATGCTGGTTCCTATCTATGTCGCATGAAGCCTCATCTGAGAGACTCTAGGACGGAAACGCAAATGTTTTTATATGTGTTGAGAAAGATAGAAATATAAGCTTCATTTTAAATACTTTACCATAGATATATATAAAGTTCTAATGAAGATACATGTGTTTTAATAATCGCCGAGCTCCGGCCCCCGCACAGACTGATCGACAGAGCAACTCTCTCTCAGAACAATGCTTATTTCACGTAAATTCGTTAATAAACACATATGTTTTATATGTCTCAAGAAAGATAGAAATATAAGCTTCATTTTAAATACTTTAACATAGACATATATAAAGCTCAAGTGAAGACACATGGAACACCGAACCTTACACACTCTCTGATATATTGTTTAATTAATAGAGTCACTAATAAAGCTTATAATTGTATATGTTATCAAAAAGGCATAGATAAAGTCGTTCTTACGTTTTAGTCACAGAGATTAGATATTAGTAAAGTAAAGTTCATTTTATTCAGGAAAGTACATAAATAGTCGATTTACAAACATAATATTGGATTTATAGATAGAGCTAGTACATACAATACCTAAAGCCACTAGTACGCATAGCGTTTCGGGCATATTATTGAGAGAGGAAAGATATTTATATTTAAACAATTTTTTTTTTTTACCGACGCTCTCCCTATTGATGAGAACTACAACCTAATGAAGATAAATGTTAATTTTATGTAGATACTGTAATAAACGAAAGTTTTTAATGTCATCAGAGAAGCAGAAATATAGGCAAATTTTAAATCCCTTGTCATAAATATAACTGAAGTGAAAGCAAAGATATATGCATTTTGATAGTTACAAAGACAGCTCTTTAACACGGGTGGAACACGAACAAGGGGAACTTAGTACCCAAATGAGCCACAGAGATATTAGAAAGAATTTTTTCAGTGTCAGAGTAGTTAACAAATGGAATGTATTAAGCAGTGATGTGGTGGAGGCTGACTCCATACACAATTTCAAATGTAGATGTGATAGAGCCCAATAGGCTCAGGAACCTGTACACCTGTTGATTGACGGTTGAGAGTCGGGACCAAAGAACCAAAGCTCAACCCCTGCAAGCACAAATTAGGTGAGTACAACTAGGTGAATACAGCTGAGGGGCGGGACCAAACAGCTGAAGCTCAATTCCCTACGCATAACTAGGCGAGTCCATAGGAATTACCGTTTGTCCTGGCGCCATCTATGTTTTGACAGCAGTACTACTAATGTTCCCATGTTATGTGATGATCGCTATACGGGTGTTAAGGTCAGTTGCTCTTCTATATATGTTTATGGACAACGTAGGTGATTTGAGGCAATTTGCGGCCAGAGTGAAATAGTATCCACGCGGTGAGTGATGGAGGAGGATATGTACTGCTGTGTACTCGACCAGCGGGTGAGAGGTAA